CTGAGGAAATCGGTATTTTACGCCGTCCGAGACCGGGGTCCTACTACGGACATCGTCCTCGGGGACCGATCGAGCACGCCACCGTACATGCCGTTGCGACGAATGCAGCTGCCGCGCCGTTTAAGGGGCGCTGCTTTGCTTGCAATAGGCCGGGCCATCGCAAGAGTGAATGCCCAGAGGAGCTAAGGCGCCGCGGAGCAGAGCAAGGGAGGGAGTCTCCAAGGCAGGGAAACGCCAGCAGTCAGTAGGAATCGGGCCAAATACTGACGAGACTGCCTGCTCGCCCAACCCCACCGACCCTCACCGAGTCACAGTACCGATTCATGCTATCGATCGGACTCGGACGAATAAGGAGGGTACAGCGACGGATTGCTCAGTACTGATCCACGGGAAAATACAGGGAGCAGCAGTAAAGATTTTTATCGACGGAGGAGCAAGTCACAGTTTAGTTAATACCGCAACCGCCCGAAAACTGCAACTGACACTTAGCCGTTGTTTGCCTGAGATAGACGCATGCTTAGTCGACGGCACGCCATTGGCCATATGGGAAAGGGTGGAGAGAGTCAAAGTCCGCTGCGGGGGGAATTTCGGATTTACACAGGAAATGCTCGCAACGACACTAGATGGGCACGACATTTTACTGGGACGTGATTGGCTGCGACAGTATAACCCGCGAATTGACTGGACGACGGGTAGCTGCACTGTGCGAAGTAGCGGTAACTGGGTCGAGCTACCTCGCTGGCAGTCGCCCGAGTCTTCAACGGTACACGACAATGCCGTCACCATGAAACGGGTTGTCGCTACTGGAGCTGACGTGTACGCAGTAGACATTGCAGTGGTAGAGGGAGCAGAGCAGCCGAGTGATTTCAAGAAACTGCTGGCAGCGGTACCGCCCGAACTACAGGAACTGTTGAAACGATACCCCGGGATTTTTCCCGACGATTTACCGGAAGGACTGCCACCCCAGCAAGCACATGACCACCGAATAGAATTAGAACCGGGGGCACAGCCAACTGTACAGCGCCAGTTCAGACTGACGCAGTCCGAGCTCGACGAACTGAGGAAGCAGTTAGATTACCTGTTAGAGAAGAAATTCATCCGACCAAGCTCGTCACCGTTCGCCGCACCGATACTGTTCACGCCAAAAAAAGACGGAGGGTTTCGCATGTGCATTGATTACCGAGCGCTCAACAGGGTAACAGTCAAGTCGCGGTACCCCATTCCCCGTGCCGACGAACTGATCGACCAACTGCAAACAGCACGGGTTTTTTCGAAAATAGACTTACGGGGAGGTTACCATCAGATTAGGGTCGAACCATCGGACTGCGCCAAAACAGCTTTCCGGACTAGGTACGGGTCATTCGAATGCACCGTGATGCCTTTCGGGCTGACCAACGCACCAGCGACATTTCAGATGACCATGAACGAGGCGTTTAAGCCGCTTTTAGATAAATGCGTGATAGTTTACCTCGACGACATCCTCATCTACAGTCGCGACAAGCAGCAGCACATAGCAGATCTGGAAGCAGTATTCACGATTTTAGACGAGCACCGGCTATTGACAAAGGGTTCCAAGTGCGAGTTCTTTCAGGACAGGTTAGAGTTTTTGGGGCACGTTATTTCGGAGGCTGGGGTCGAAATTGACCCAAAGAAGTTAGACACGGTAAAAGCCTGGCACCCCCCGACGAATATCACGGAACTACAGAGTTTTTTGGGGTTCGTAAACTACGTGCGTCGGTTCGTCCCCGACATGGCACGGTTAACTGCGCCGCTGACGGACTTGTTACGGAAGGGGGTCGCTTTTACGTGGGGGGAGAAAGAGCATGCTGCCTTCTCTGCCTTGAAAAATGTTCTCTGTTCACCGCCCGTCCTGCGCATCGCCGACCCACACCGCCCATTCGAAGTAGTTACCGACGCAAGCGATATCGCCATCGGAGCCGTACTGCTACAGGACTTCGGCAACGGCCTACAGCCCATCGCATACGAGTCACGAAAACTGCATCCGCCCGAGAAAAATTACCCGATACACGACCGCGAAATGCTTGCGATCGTGCACGCGTTCAAAGTGTGGTGCTGTTACTTGACCGACGCAGACGTGACAGTACGGACAGACCATAAATCACTACAGTACCTTCGCGCACAGCCACACCTCAACCCACGACAAATTCGCTGGCTCGATTTTCTCGAGTCCAATTTTCACTACACGGTCACCTACAAAAAGGGAGCCTCGAACATCGCCGACGCACTGACCCGCCCCACTGCCCAGATCCACGCAATACTACTCGCCCAGACCAGTCCCCTACTGACAGGCCTATTTACCCACGGGTATCAAACGGGTCCATTCTTCACAGGAGGAAATTCGCAGCAGTTCGCAGCAGCAAGGGGAGTCTATTACGTAAAAGCCGAGACCGATCGCATCTGGGTGCCTGGGTATACACTGCTACGGGAATTACTGTTACAGGAGGCACACGACAGAGTTACCTCGGGGCATTTCGGGGTGGAAAAAACACGGCAGCAGCTGCAGCGGTATTACTACTGGCCCGAAATGTTGACCGACGTACAACGACACGTGGCATCGTGTCCCACTTGCCAGCTCATGAAATCATCACGGCAGCGGCCGGCAGGACAGTTGCAGCCGATACCACCCCCAGAGCGTGCTTGGCAGCAGGTGACGATGGACTTCGTCACGGGGTTACCGGCCGGGGCGAGTGGGAACGACGCGATCCTGGTCGTCGATCGACTGACGAAAATGGCACATTTCGCAGCCTGCACAAAATCAATCATAGCCGAAGAAACAGCACGCCTCTTCATCTCCACCGTCATTCGACTGCACGGGATACTGGCAGCAATAATCAGCGACCGCGATACGAAATTCACCAGCAACTTCTGGCGGAACCTGTGGCAGCAGTTCGGCACGCGACTACAGTTCAGCTCTTCGTACCACCCCGAAACTGACGGACAAACCAGACCATGGAGCAACTCATCCGAGCCACGTGCGACGACCCAACCACCTGGGAACAACAGCTGCCACTCATTGAATTCGCATACAACAACTCACCGTCCGCCACGACCCAACAGTCACCGTTTTACCTGAACTACGGACAAGACCCGACAGTACCCATGACCCCGAATCCCGACAACCCAGTGCCACGAGCACAACAGTTCGCCGAAATATTACAAGCAGCACGGACTCGGGCAGCAGACACAATGAAAAAATCGAACATCATCGCTAAACGCAACGCCGACCGCCACCGCAGACCCGTCACTTACCAGCCCGACGACCTAGTTTTACTTGACACCCAGAACCTCCGCCTGCCCATCACCCCAAAACTCCGCCCCCGATACTGTGGAGCGTTCCGCATTAGCCACATGATTACGCCCGTCACCGCCCACCTCCTCCTCCCCGCCGACTGGTACGTCAGCCCCTCATTCCACGTCAGCCTGCTTCGCCCTTACGTCCCGTCCACAAGCCAACTGCCACGCAATCGGCCCGCCAGCATGACACGACCGCCGACTGAACCAATCATCAACCCCGAGAAAATTCTGAGCCACAGAGTTCGTGACCCTCGAGGAGCCCGAAGGATCGAGTTCCTAATCTGCTGGAAAGACCGTACACCCACCAAGGACAACTGGGTTCCTCTGGACAGAATCGAAAACCACCTCGTCCTCACAGAGTATCTGCGCAGCAGAAACTTCAGGGATGTACACGCACTTTCGTAAGGAGGACCTCCTTAGGGGGGGGGGGGGGGGGGTAGTGTAAGGAAAATTCCTTTTCCTTACTTGGCATCCCCGCTCAGCGCGTACACCACTGTAGCACCATAGTCAGCACCGTTACCACTCGCAACCATCGCATCGACAATCCTCCCGCCACCTTCGCACGTCGCACCCCGACCTCACGGCTCGGCGGGTAACCCGCGCTCCGGGCCTCCGCTTCGACAATTCTCCAAACCTCAGTCCCAGGCCCGTCGCGCGACAACCACAGTTCATTACCGTTACCACTGTAGTTTCGCTATATATTCTTCGCTCATGCCTTCGCTCATTGTACTCTTGCTTCGATAGTGCAATTCTCGCTCGCTCACTCAATTGCACTCGTAACAGTAGGTCTGAACAGAAAGGCAGCAAACGGGAGGTTCGGCTAGTTTTATCAGTTCAGGGGGTTCGGGGTTCAAAGTCACACACGGTCTGATCTATCCACCACCGACCCCGCGCACTTGATGCAGTCAACCCTGCTCTGCTCCGCACTGCACTGCACGCCTTTCCTACTCGGCAAGACTCCAGCGACTCCAGCGACTCTTGCCTTGTGCTGTGCACAGGACGAGGCAGGAGGACCAGAGCAGCACGATTCAGAAGTGAATAATAAATTTGCCCCTTCTGCAGAGTCTGGACATTCGATTCATCAGTACTACCAAAAGGTATCACCGCCTAGTATCAGTATTTGAATTCAGTGCGGACCGCGTCGAAGCAACCACTCGTTACCCACACTCTCTCGGACCGCACTAGCAGCTCTTTTAGTTTGCATCGCGTCTCCTCGAGCCCGTCTCAAGGTATGCCGCGCACTGAGATATCAAATCACCATGGCAACTCCACTCGCATGCTCGTCGTAGCGTGCTGATTGTCCCCAATCGCGCGCTCGTTCCCCAATCGCCTATAATCTCCTTGTCTTCTCGCGGCGAAATTACGCGTATTTCAGCAACCGCGAGTTTCCATTTCCGTCGTCTCAGCTTGAACGCGCTCTCTCTCTTTTGCCACTTTGTCCCCGCTCTTTCCGTCCCTCCCCCCACCACCTCCTCTCGTCCTCTATTCCCCCAGCAAGGCCGCGCTACTAGGGCCGCGGATTTTCAAAAGCGGTGCTCTGCTGAGTCGTCTCGTCGGCAATGGCGCGAGAGAGGAGCGGCGCCGCGCCTAGTCACGTGGCGTCGAGTGGATGCCGCGGCAGCGGCGGCGGGAATCGCGCCAGCGGCAGCGGCGCGGGTCGCGGAATTCCCAAGGATCGCGCGGACATGCGGCGGCCGAACATCGCGCTTCAGGGCGCAACTCTCAGCGCAAGTGGCGGGCGAGTGCGCGCGCCGGGAGCTGAAGCCTCCGCAGGGGGCCACCGCGTCACCAGCGGCAGTCGCAAACAGTGTCAGTGGCGGGGCGGCGGAGGCGCAGTGACAAGCGCGGAGAATGATGACGACGATGCTGATGTCGTTGATGGTGGTAACCACACTCGTGGCGGGGTGCTTCTGGAGCAGATTGCTGCCGCGGCGCGAATGAAGCGAGCTGCGCAAGAGGCGGCTGCAGCGCGGCGCGTGGCACTGGAGCAGCGCGGGACGGTGGATGACGAAGGCAAAGGGGCGAGGGGGCGGGCTGCAGGACTGGCAGAGCGGAGGCGGGGCGACGACAAGGCTGGGAAGGCGCACGGAGGTGACGAGGCAGGTGGGGGTAGTGAAGCGCGGAGGGTTGGGGTGAACAGGAACGGGCAGGTGAGGATTCTTGTAAACGAGCAGCAGGCAGACGGCTGTGATGAGGGCCAGGTGATGCAGGAACAGCACACAGCAGCAGCAGTGTTGGAAGGAACAGCAGAGGGAGTGAGAAAGGATGGAACGGACGAGGAAGCGAGCAAGACGCAGGCAGAGGCAGCAGCAGCAGCAGCAGCGGCCTTCCCCACACTGGCACTGGCGCCGCTGGTGCCTCTGCTGGGCACAGGGGAAGACGTGGCACGAGCCATGTGCGTGAACAGGGAGTGGCGCCACTCTCTCACACACGCCGTCCGCTCCTTCTCCCTCCGCTTCCACCCAGACTCCCTCTCCTGGCGCCCCTCCTTCCACCACCCCCCCGCCCTCTCCTCGGACCAGTGCAATCCTGCAGCCGTCCAGCTCCCCCTGCTGGACCCTTCGCCTGCGCCCCTCCCCCCGCCCTCCCTCCGCCTGTGCGCCAACCAGGGGTGTGGCAGCTGCGCCAGTGGCAGCACTGCCTGGTGCGCGGGGGGTGGGGAGCGAGGGGGGTGGGGGGAAGAGGCGGAAGCAGGAGGCAACGCGAGCAGCAGCAGCAACAACAGCAGCAGTGACGGGTATGGGAGCGGATGGGGGAAGGTGCTGAGTTCAGTGGTACTGCAGTGCGACATGCCCTTCCCATGCACATCGCTTTTGACACCGGGCAACAGTGTCACAAGCTGGAAGCACGCTCTCTCTCGCTACCCCAACCTCACGTCGCTGCACCTACCCCTCCTCTCCTCCCCCCCTTGGTCCACCTTGACCGACAGCCTCGACAACAGTGCACGCAGCAGCCGCTACTACCCGCTCCCCTGCGACGTGCTCGTGTCGCCGGCTCAGCTGAGCAGCCTGCTGTGCGGCCTGGGGCAGCTGCAGTGCAGCGCCACGCTGCGCTGTGTGCACGTGGAGGTCACTGTGGACTGGCACTCGCAGCACCTCGTACGCACCAGCACCAGCAGCAGCGGCGGCGGCGGCGGCGGCACGCACTACCAGCGCCACGCTCCCAGGCAGCACCACCTGCTGTGCCACCACGGGGAGCTCGCGTGCCCTCGCCTCTTCCACAGCCGCATGCAGAAACGCACGCTAGCCATGGAGCAGAGAGAGGTAGAGAAGGGCGTGCAGGGTCTGCTGCACGGCTGCCCCAACCTGCGAGCGCTGCACCTGCACGGCCCAGATCTCTCCTGCCTCCTCTCCCTCTCCCCATCCACCCTCGCCGCCTTCTCCCACCTCACTCACCTCTCTCTCCCGCTCCCAGGCTCCATCCCTACGCCCATTCTCCACCTCTCCCGCCTCGCCTCGCTCTCCCTCTCGCTCTGCCTCGAGTGTCCCACTGCTCTCGCCAGCTTCCACCGCCAGATGCTCTCTCCGGGTCTCTTCCGCCACCTCTCCTGCCTCTCCTCCCTCTCTCTGCTCGCCCTCAGCTCGCCCCGTGGTGCAGCCACCGCCACCACCACCACCAGCAGCAGCGTTGTTAGCGTGTCACCAAGCCTCCTCGATGGCTTGCACGCCTCCCTCCACTCGCTCACGCTGCTGCTGCACGATGCCGACGTGCACGCCCCAAGTGCATCACCCCTCACCTCCCTCTGGACCCTCTCCCGCCTCACACACCTCAACACCGATCTTCACACCAATTTCACCACTGATTTTAACACGCTCGTCTACCCCCCTCCCTCGTCTACAGCCCCTCCCACTCCACTCACTCCCACCGCGCATCTCTTCCCACCACACCTTTCTACCCCCCCACCCTCTCCAACGCCACATCTCGGCCTCGCGTCCCTATCACACCTGACCTCCCTCACCCTCACCTCTCTCACCCACGTCCCTGCGTCCCTCTCCCTCCTCTCATCCCTCTCTCGCCTCGAGCTGCCCCGAGCCACAGAGGACCCTCACGGGGCCATCCGTGCGTTGCCCCATCTCTCCCATCTAGACTGCAGTCTGAAGCAGCTACACCTCCTCCTTGACTTTGGCCCTTCGCCCTCCTGCCGCCCCTGCTTCTGTGGGATTCGCGTGCGCTGCAACTGCTGCGACTGCCAGAGAAGCAGCAGTGGCAGTGGCAGCAGTAGTGGCAGCATGAGGAGCGAGTGCCACAGTAGCAGCAGCAGTGAGGAGAGCAGCGATGGGAGTGGCGGCAGCAGCAATGGGGCAGCAGGAGGAGCAAGCACACCTCTTCCCTTCCGCCACTGCTCCTGCTTGCACCCATCGCAAGCACCACAGCACCGCACCCGTGGTCTCACCTCCCTGGTTCTGCGAGCTCACCCACAGCTGCCCACCACCCACATGCACACTCACTGCTACCCCTCCCTGCGCCACTTAGAGCTACACGGAATCTCCTCCTGCCACTGGCGCTGGGGCAACCGCGCTGTACCACCCGCCTTCTCCCTCTTCCCCAACCTGCATACCCTCATCTGCAACCCCCCTCCCGATGACCCACACACAAACCACTCAGTCAACCTAGACCTTGCCCTGCTCCCCTCTCTCACCCGCATCTCTGGGGGGTTTGCGCTGTCCCGTGCCGACCATCTGCTCTATCCTTCTCTCCACACGGTCGTGATTAACCGTGGCAGGATGGTCCCTTCTGTGCCCTGGGAGCCATTGCTGCAGCTGCGGTCTCTGCGCACGCTCATTCTCTCGCACTCGTTCCTCCTCTTAGACTCACCGAACCCGTACTACTGGCACAGGGACGTGCCACCGCCCTTGCACCTTCTCACAGCCCTGCACACGCTGCAGATGCCCCTGCCCTGCCGTAAATGGCAAAGGAATCTGCCACGGCTGACATTGAACTGGCCTCCGCACATGCGCTGCCTGCGCCTGTGCGACTCCCCTCTCACTCATCTGCCCTCGACCGTGCTCGGGTGCTTGGAACTGGAGGAGCTGCATCTTATTGGCTGGCCGCAATTGAGTGAGCTGCCAGCCGGGTTGGCAGGGTTGGAGAGGCTAAGGGTGGTGAGGGTGAGTGGGTGTGAGGAGGAGCCTACTGTGCCTGTTGAGCTGGTGCCTCTGCTTCGAGGGAAGCGCTGGCACTTCCCCTTCACCCAATCCATGGCTTGTGAGCGATGACGTGCCGATTGCCATGTCCAACACTCAATGTACCTTTAGATTTGGGTGATTGGATTGGACTGGTTGCACGCAGCAGTAGCAGTAGCGGTGGCAGTAGTAGCAGAAGCAGCAGCAGTTTTCCCTCTTACACCTCTTCTCCCTCCGGTTCCTCCTCCCGCTCTCCCTCCCACGATGTTGGCTACCGCAACTGGAAGCACTTTATCTTCTGACACGCCTCCCTCTCCTTTCCTCTTCAGCCTCCACCACAACCCTGCTGCTTGGCTTGCTGGCCGTGCCGCTGCCCGTCCCCACCACGCACCACTCGGGCATGAGCAAAATTTTCCTACCTGATATCATTTGGCAGGTGCCCCAGGTGGTATTTCTAGGCACGGATATGATTCTGGCTACAGACGTGCAGGAGTTATGTGAGCGATTGAATGAGATAAAGGGGATGGAGAGATACTGTACTGGATGGGCCGCCCACGCTGAGAGGGGCAGCATTAGGCGGCTGAGGGAGGGACCCTTGCTGCAGCTGCCAGCTTGTGATGGACTTAGAGAGAATTGCCAGGCATGAGCAGGTAGGATACATACTAGATAAGGCCCTGAGTTTTTTTTTTCTTAACCGTCTAATAGGTGCAGCTTGTACGGTATGTGGGAGTGTGTTTCTGAATGGGATAAAAAAAAACAAAATTTGTATGGAATATCACTTTGACTTTCAAAGGGGTTATGATTTTCGTTACAACGAGGACGGATCAGCCAAGGCTGCTTTGAGCAACCTTTGGGGACGGTGACGTGGCTTCTTGATGCTTTATCGTGGCGTCTTTGGCCAATCCCTAAAGAAAGCTTGTCACAAATCAACACAAGCCATCTCCAAGTTCCACTGACCGAAAACTGCACTCACCACCTCGGTCGCTGATGTGTCACGTGTGTGTAGAGGCGAATTCCATTCCAAAAGATAGTTTACGGCTGGATCTGCCTCGTCGGAGCATTCGAGGGCTGCCACGTATACATTTTTTTGGGGGATTGGTTCGTCTTTTCGCTTTTCCCAGCAGACAGGGCGCAGTGGCAGAAATTGAATATCGTCCTCTGGAAGATCCCGAAAGCTGGCTGGGGCGTAATATCCGCGCAGCATGGCGGTGGCGGAATGTCCCCTGTTGTTCCGCATCGCCGGCAGGCACCTTTCTGCGACACTCCTCGTCACCAGAAGCTGGATTGCCCCCCTCTGTTCTGCACTTGTTTCTATTGCCCCCTCCACCCAGCGGAGAGGCCGAGTTCCCAATTCGCTGAGGCGAAGGGGGAATTTTGAGGATGCAGCATTTCCTGCCTCCGCGGATCCGCCTTCCGCGCTGCACATCTTCCTTTCCCCCACGCGGGGGACATTTCCGCTTCGAGCCATGTTCTCCTGCCCCCCCCGCCTCCGCCATTTCTTGATTCATCGTCATCAGTCTGCTTGCCTCCCTAATTTGTAATAAAGCCCCTCCAGTGCATTGTGCTGCTATCTCTGGTTGTGCATTTTACTTCACGATCGTAACTGCAAACACTGGATCTAACAGCAACCACTTTCGCGTCGCTTGCGTGTGTTTCGTTTCAGTTGCGTAACAGGGTGTTGCCTACCACTGCGTGAAACGAATCGCCCTTTTTCAAACAGTTTCCTGTTCTCTCCTTCTTATTCACGACTTCGTCACCATGGAGGCGTCAACCCGCGCCGCGCTGTCGCACGCGCTGCACCCAACCACCCTCGTATCGGCGCCCAATCTACGGAGATCGGTGCATGTGGCGGCGGCGCCACAGCCTCTACCTCCTCTCGCCGCGTCACGCTCGTCGCGCTCGTCGCGCTATTCGCGGAAGTCGTCCAAGTCAATGATGCCCGTGTCGCCGGGCCCCGGGATCGCCGCTGTCGCCGGGAAGAAGAAACGGTCGTCTCGCAACCGCGCAGCGTCGCCGCCGCCTCAAGCCATCGTGTCCGATCAATGTAAACAATTTCATTCCAGACCACTCTCGAGTTCGAGTAATTTGTCAGTTCATCGCTGCGACAATAGTTTTCTCGCCACGCAATCTTGACGGTTGCATGTCTCTTGTCAGGTCATGCGCACGATCGCTCCTCATTCAGCTCCTTCAAGAACTTTCTGCGACGTGCTGCGATGTTGCTCTGGCCCTTTACGCCACCATGTGCGGATCTTGGCCATCTTTCCCCCGTTATACAAGCTGATAGGACTTCCCTTCTGTCACATCCCATCGCGCTCCTTTTACATTCGAATTTACAATACATTTTCGTCGTTTTCGTCGACCCTTCCTCTCATCCTCCGCGTTCCCCGCTTTCCGTCTTGAATTCCCGATTTATTCCCCGATAAACGCAGTCGCAGTCTCCGAGGAGACCGGCATCAGCACGGACGCGCACACGCACGCGGCGGCGGCGGCGGCGGCGGCGGAGGCGGGGACGAAGGTGGAGCAGGTGTACGAGGAGGTGGACGGGCACATGGTGCCGGCGCGCATGCTCACGTTCACCATCGTGGGCGCGTCGGGCGACCTGGCGCGCAAGAAGATTTTCCCCGCGCTCTTCGCGCTCTACTACGAGGGGTGCCTTCCGGAGGTGAGCCAAGGGGACGTGGTGGGCAAGGGGAAAGGGGGAACGGGGAAGGGAAGGCGGGTAAAGGGGGAAGGGGGAAGGGGAGGGGGAAACGGATCTGTTCGGGCCGTGTTGCCAGGGGCGTGCGGATAGGGGAAGATGAATTCAGAAGAGGAGAACGAGTTTTCGAACGGTGGCAGCGAAAGGGTGTATATTGCGCAATTCGCGCCAACGACTGCGGCCATGGTGGAAACGAACGGCGCAACTTGCTACAAGGTGTGCAAGCAAGATCGAGTACCGTGCCTGCTTTCCTTCCGCCCGGAGTGGCACAATCCTTCTGCCATGAATGAAACTGTCCGAAGCCGAATCTAACGCCATCTCTCTCCTCGGTTTTCCCCGTCGTCGCTCACGTTCCTGATTTTTCTTTCCGCGTTTTTGTTGGCTCGTTTGCGCGCCACAGTTTGGCTCGTTTGCACGCCACAGCTCTAGCGCATCGTCAAAGGCCCACTCTCCCACACCGTTCCAGTTCCGCCCACTCTCCCACTCGATTCCGTTTCCTGTCTTGTCTTTCGTTCCTTGGTTGCGCAGCACTTTCAAATATTCGGGTACGCGCGCAGCAAGATGGACGACGCGCAGTTGCGCGAGCTCATTAGCTCCACGCTCACCTGCCGCATCGACAAGAGGTGCGTGCTCTCCGCTCTCCGCTTCCCGCTTCCCGCTTCCCGCTCTCCGCCCTCCGCGCCCCGCACGCCCGTGCCGCCAAATCCCGTCCACCACCTCCTCCGCTTTCCCTCTAACCGTGTCCGCTCCCGCCTCCCTCCATTCCTACTCTACAACCCCTCTTCCCTCCCTCCCCCTTTCTTCTCCACCCCCCACCATCCACTTCTTCCCTCCCCCCTCACTCGCCACTCTCCCCTTCTTCCCCCGCCTTTCCGACTCGTGTGAATCCTTCATCAGTTCTACTGTGCGCATTTCCCCTGCATCCTCCACCCCCTTCCCCGTCCCCGTCCCGCAACATCCCCCCCGGCCCTTCGCGCCCGCCACTCTCTCCCTGCTTCTCCCTCCTCACCATCCGCACATTCTTTGCCCGACCCAACCCAAAGTTTTCTACTAGCGCCGTTCTCTTGCCTATCCTCCCTCGCTCCCAGTTCTTGCCCTCAATCTCGTTAACTTCATCCTTTCCCTGCCTCCTTCCGCTCCCGCTCCTCCCCGCACCGCGCGCCCGTCCCCCCTCTCGCGGCGCGGAGCAGCGACGACTGCGGAGACAAGATGGACTTTTTCCTGGAGCGCTGCTTCTACCACAGCGGGCAGTACGACAGCGAGGACAACTTCGCGGGGCTCGATGCGCGCATGAAGAAACTCGAGGTGCGCTCCCCATGCTGCTCATGCTCGCGTCCCTATGCTGCTGATGCCGATGCTCATGCGGACCGTTTATGCTGCATTTCGTCAGTTACTGCTACCTCGCCGTTCCCTTCCGTCGTCACTCGGCTCCCTCGTTTCCTTCTCCCTACCTTACCTCCCTCTTTCACGCATTCCCGTCGCCCTCACGCCCGTCTTTCTATCCCCCACTCCCACGCTCCTCGTTTTGCCCTTTCCCCGCAATCTCCCCACTTCCCCCCACTTCACTTCCCCCCACTTCACTTCCCCCCACTTCACTTCCCCCACTTCACTTCCCCCACTTCACTTCCCCCCACTTCACTTCCCCCCACTTCACTTCCCCCCACTTCACTTCCCCCCACTTCACTTCCCCCCACTTCACTTCCCCCCACTTCACTTCCCCCCACTTCACTTCCCCCCACTTCACTTCCCCCCACTTCACTTCCCCCCACTTCACTTCCCCCCACTTCACTTCCCCCCACTTCACTTCCCCCAACTTCACTTCCCCCCACTTCACTTCCCCCCACTTCACTTCCCCCAACTTCACTTCCCCCCACTTCACTCCCCCCCACACCCCATCACCCAAATCCTCCCTGCCTCCTCCCCCACGGCCCCCCTCCCCCGCCTGCCTCCCCCCCGGCACTCTTCCCCTCGTCACCAGGCGGGGTACATAGCGGACCGCATGTTCAACCTGGCCATCCCGCCCAACGTCTTCGTGCCCGCGTGCTTCAAATTGACTTAAAGCCCCCTTCTCCCGCTTTCCACCTGCTTCCCCCTCCCGTTTCCCCCTCCCGCTCCCTCCACCCCCTCCGTTCCCCTCCCACCCCCCCCCAGGCGGGGTACATAGCGGACCGCATGTTCTACCTCGCCATCCCGCCCAACGTCTTCGTGCCAGCAGCGCGGTCCGTGTCGCTGGCAGCGTCGTCAGAGTCGGGGTACACGCGCGTGATCGTGGAGAAGCCGTTCGGGCGCGACAGCGAGTCCAGCGCGCTGCTCACGAAGCAGCTCGGGCAGCACTTCACTGAGGACCAGATCTACCGGTGAGGCACGGGGGGGGGGGAGGGGAGAGGAGGGAGGG